ATTGAATCTTCTTCGCTTATTATGGACCTTCAGATCTTTGCATCATCTACGTAGATCATAGCTGCTGAGCCAATTTTGTCTAACAGATAATTAATGAGTTTCAGAAGGATGAGTGGACACATGATAGTCCCTTGTGAAATTGTTGAAGTTGAGACCCATCAGCTCGCATGCACTGCATTTGCCTTGGTGAGAAACCCTTCTTCCTGAAGTCACTTCTAAACCTAAAATAAAAGTTCGTCAGTGAAGCCCATTTTCTCAACCGTCGCTATTAGCAGCACGTAGAGTAATGTGTCGAAAGCATTTGCGAAATCAAGAATCATTAGATGAACCGGTAGTTTTCAATCCCATCAGGTTGTCCAGCTGTCCCATGCTATGAGAAGATTAGATGCAAACAACCTGCCTTTCCGAAACACATGTTGAGCTTCATGGAGGATATTTTTCTTATCCATCTACTTCCTCATTTGCTTACTCACCAGCCCTTCCATTACCTTCCAAAGTATTGGTAGTAAAGCGACTTTGGAGATTAGAGAGAGCAGCTTGTTTTCATTCAGCTGGGAGTTGGTGTGACTCGAGCGAATGCCTGCACATGTCACATACTGGTGAACTGAGGACTTCTACACACTGTTTCAAAACTATTAGGCGACTTTCCCGGGCACGAGGTCTTAAGTTTTCTTTCTACTAAGTTAGGAGTGAGTCCAACATTCGCTAGGCCGTCAGTTGGAACTAGGTTTGAATAGCACTCTGAACGCGTATGTTGCTTGTTAAACTGATTAGTGAAGTTGGTGTTGAGTGTCTCAGCCATCTCTGGGTTGTTTAGATCTCCACAATTTGGACGTTTGAGGGCACAACCATTCTGACTCACGGGTTTTGTTATAGTCATTACCTTACGGAGATATTATGGCTTTGCCTGCATTTTGGTAGCTAGCTTCATCTAGAAGTATCTCCTAAAACTTTTAACTTTGGAATTGTATCTGTCTCCCAATGCCATGTAACAACTTTGGTTGAAATCCTTCAGAGAGACCTACCACTTGTGCCATGCTCTTTTTTTGCGTGTACCACGATTTCAGTGCCTAGCCAAACCCGTTCTCTCTTCAGATGTGTGGTGTGCCTGAGGTACATTGTTTAGGACAGGATTCTGGATGACATCTGTCAGTCTGCCTGTGATAACCTATTGTTAGTCTCAACCATTCCCGTAGCCATGGTGCACACTGTGGAGGCACTTAGTCGTTTTTCTCATTACCTGGTGCAACTCTACAACAACAGCCGTCGTCGGATTTTCAAGCAAGTCGTCCAAACTGAGCTGAAAAGTTCTCTGGGAACTGGCGACTGCATTCAGTCGGCGAGACCATTATCTTCATGTCTTGTGTGTTTGTGTTGGTCCAGGTCGACTATCATTATAGTGCGCTTGTTTCGGCCTCCCTTTGTTGTCTCACAGGTCTAGTTTGGCGATCGCGAAATGTAATGTGACTGCAGAGATTATTCTTCATGCATTACCAAGTCTGAAGCTCCTCTTCCTGATTCCTGAATTCTACGCACATCAGACATGCAATATTAATAGTGCCAATGTGTGGGAGACGAGGTAGCCGAAAAATTCTAGTTATCATCTTGGTGTGAAGACCCATGCTACTTGATATTCATTGCCACTGTTTCAAGTCATGCTCATGAGCTTCGCCCAAACCAGCACTAATCAATTTTGGCACGCAGTGAACTACCATATTGGTCTTCTATAGGTTATCTTCTGATGTCCTGACTGCTGGTCTTACTGAACACAATTTTTCAGGCCTGACTTTGATCCGGGAGGACAATTTAACTGAGAGTCTCTTGGATGTGAGGTGGATCTCTTCGGCAAGTTGTGCCGAGTCTAAGGTAACCCTTAAAGGAGGGGGTTTCTTTCTGTGAGCTTCTGACCTTCGAAAGATGGGATACTTTCGCCAGAGAACTGCTCATTTTAAGGATTGTGCAGTACTTGACCCACTGTTCTTTATCAAAGGCAACTTTACTTTCCAGTAAGTTACCTTTTGACACTGGAACATTATATTTAATTAGTACATTTTTCTAACATCCATGCCACCGATTTGTAGCCGTCTCATCTTTTTAAACTAACCTTACTGCTCCATGCTATTAAGATATACTGGGGTTTTTGCAATAACTGGCAGTTTTGTGGGTGTGTTGGTTCGGCTTACGGCTGAAGTTAACTTCTGTTTCGTTGATCTAGAGCTGGGCCAGTTAGGTTTACCTGTGGAAATTTGTCGGGTTGATTTTCTGTGCGGCCTGTGGCTTTGCTAATGCTAAAATTTTATCTTCACTGAGGGTAAATATAACAGAGGCACAGACAGGGGAGACCGAGCATGACACCTTAACACTCTCTAGATACTACAGTGTCACAGTGACAGTGAACCCAGGCAGAGCTGAAGCTGCTTTCAAATTCAGAGTCACTGTTTTTACTGCAAGCGAGCAGGAAATACATTTATCCTCATGTACCATCTGAATGGTAAAAGGACTGTAACATAAGTATAATTCATAATCTTTGTAAAGAGCGAATTTGATTTGATTGATTGCTTGACGGTTTCAGGTGTTTATCCATCTCCAGTGGCCAATAGTTCAGCCACTCAATTGCACTGATATTATTTATTTTGGTAACTATTTGTGGATTCTTATATCAAATAATTCGAGTAAGTTTATCGTCTTGGGACGAAACGGGTTCTGGTTACCACCGCTTATCACATTACCAGTCACGTCAGTTGGTCTGAAGGTAGCAAATTACTTACTTACTTAGGGCTGTTATCCCCAATGGAGCGTAGGCCACCCACCAGATTTCTCCAACCAACTCTTTCTTGGGCTTCCCTCTCCAGTTCTGTCGAATTTTCGTTCTTTTTCCGCATGTCTCTGTTTCTCGGTGTAATGTGTTCCTTGGCCCTTTTTTGTTCCTTTTACCTTGAGGGTTCAAAGATAGGGCTTGTCCGGTGACGTCGTTCGGTGCTTTGCACAGTGTGTATCCTATCCATACTCACCACTTCTTCCTGATTCCCTTCTCTGATGGAGTGTGATGGAATAATTTTATCTTCTGGGTCGTGGCCTTCGCATTTCTTCAAGTTTCCGCTCCATACAGTAAACTGTTAATTATTAATTTACTCTTGCAGTCCGCTTTTAACTCGAAAAGTGTAGGTTCATACGCGTCCCGCCCAGTCCAAGTCCAAAAACGATAATTCTGGGAGAGAACGTTCAAAACAATATTACACCTTCAAGTTTCCAATTACCACAATAGGTTCCGTTGCTGGACGAATAAGTGCTTCCAGTCCGTTACTGCTAGAGTATCAAATCCAAATATGGCTGTAGCCATATTAAGTATCAAATTTAAACAACATATGTATAGTTCAGAAGGAAACATGAAAACTTCGATATAAGTACAAGATATAGAGACAATAACAAGTTACAAATGATAAAATCTCAAAATGGAATCAAATAGAGTACCAAAATATCAACAGAAAGAGTCAGTCATATGATAACACAAATATAGATACATCCTCCAAGGCATCTCCATGAAGAGTGATATGTTTGGAGCATGTTATGTTGTACCGTACGTGTATCGTGAAGGTGTTGTGTCGCTCATGGCAATATTCTGGGCTTTATCTCTCAATGTATTGGTCAGTGTTTTGTGATCTTCCAGCATATGCTGAAAATACCTCACGACCAGGTAGATTACGAGAAGTTCTCGTCCAAAAGTAGATTATCTTGCCTCTTTTTGAGAACGCAGTCGAATGCTATTTGTTTTTGACAAGTTGATTAAGGACACCGTCTACTGCTTTGTCTGAAGCCTTCACCATTAACACAAGTGGTGAATCGGTGTTCGGATATGCAAACACAGATTCTTAGGCCGGCCTATCCTCTGGCTCTTTGACAGCCTCATTAAACAACCTAAGGTTTTGATGTTTTCCTCGAGGGTAGTCTATGAACGGCTACATCATGTTCTCAAAACTGGGTATGATTCAGCGATAAAAGCTGATTAAACCTAGAAAACTTCTGAGGTGTGTAATGAAACTTGGCGAATTTAGAGAAATGATGTGGCTTTCTATGCTTTTTTCGCGATACAAAGTTTCCTCCAGTGTTATGCGTGATTTCCTAGCGCCGACCATGAATTAAGCTAAAACAAGAGGTACGGTTTCTGGTATTACGTCGTAAATTCAGTTTTGTTGGCAGCATGAGGTTTAAGTTGGGACAGTTTTCAACCTTGATTAATTTTACTGTGAGTGATCATTATCAGTGTGGCGTCTCGTCTATATTTGCCATGAAGAACTACCGTAAACTGTGGTCTTTAACGTAAGACTAATGAAGTACCTGTGGAAAAGTTATTGATATCCCATAACCTTGGAAGTCTCCTTAGGTCCGGCACGTGGTTGGCTGCACCTTGCTGATTAGCCACCAAACTTCCAATAGTATTAACAGAAATTTCCAGGTTTTCAAGGTGTTTGTTAAGTTGCCAAAGAGGACAGACCAAATAAAACAAACTAGGATTGCATAAAAAGATAGTAGTATATATTTAACAATTCTATGTACATCTTTTATGAATAAACTGGTGTATCTTCCGCAATATGTTTTACTTGTTACATTAAAATTAAAATCAAGCACTAATCATGTTAGCTACTTTTTAAAAGTTTGTATAAAAATATACATAGATATATATAATCACTACAAATAATCTAGAACTATGTACATTGATGAAAGAATTTGTTCAAGAAAAATGTAAATTGTTTTTTTAAACCGATTAATCAAAACAAAAAGTTATAATAACTAAAGAGAACAAGTCAATCATTAAAGGATAAGAATAAGCCGAAACGGAAGAAGAGGAGTTGAAAAATGCGCATTTTTATTGTATACACATGTTTTCAAAAATCTGACCAATCAGGAAGCGGAGGAGGAGAGAATAATTAAAACACAGGACATTTTTAAAACATTGAATCTTGAAAGTAATTGTATTTCAAACAAACAAACAGTGTATCAGCGGGCAATTCAATCTCTATCAAGTTTTACACATGGAAAAAACATATTGACAAAGTTAGAAAAAACAGTTAGTCTTCGAGAGAAAAGTATATATCAGTCAACGATCTGCTCAACTGTGATGGGTGTGATAAGAAAAACGAAGCAAGCAAGGCACTAAAATGTTGTGTTGTGTTATGTTTTAAAAACTATTCATTTCCAATTTTGTGAACAATCGTTTAATTATAATTTTCTATGATAAATTGGACTATAAGCTAATGCAATTGGATGATTTTGAAAATGTGGTACATGATACCGCACATTACTACTGGTAGTAGTAGTAGTAGTCGTTGACTGTTGTTGCTGTTGCTGATGGTTTCCATTATTCAACAAACAGCAAACAGTTGATGGTGATGATGATGTCGACGGTGAAGTGGATGAAGTGAATTCATTCAATCGATTCACACGCATATTTGCTTGAGCATAACGAAATTGTGCATTTCTAACATGTGCTGTTAAATCTATGCCCCACAATAAATAATCACAACGTAATTGTTGTCGACTAGTACCACAATCGGCTGAGAATACAACATAAACTGGATTGCTAGTTGAAGTATTAGTAGTATTTGTATTGACAGTTGATTGATGCGTAGAACACAGATTGTTCGAATCCGAAGAGAGCATTACATAAATTTGATCTAATCTATGATAAGGTAACATAAACATTAATGTTGTATGTTCAGTTAGAAAAAATATTGGTGCAGGAGTCTGATGTGATGTGGGGGAATTTGATTTCTACAAGGAAAACAAATGACAAAATATATAAACAGAAAGGTGAATTTACACGCATTTATCGAGAAAATTTGTCTAGTTGAACAGTATGATGGTATCAGTTCTGTAACTGTAACACTCAATGATATGAGTTCGAATCTTGTTGGAAAAGTAACAGTTTTCTCGTAAATGATGTGACATCTGAAATGAGGATTTTTTTGTCAGTTGTCTTCAAACTTTCAAAAGAGAAGAAAGGTCTTGAGGACATTACAAGATTACAATTTGAAAGAACACAAAGAATGGATGCATCTGAGCCATTACGTAGGATTTTCAGCCATGTCATTCAAACTCAGTTAGCATGGGTTACTAGTGTCTCACAGACATCAACCAGGTGGCCTACACTTATTAACATGGCTCAATTCAGTTTTCAGTGATCTCACTGAGTTGTACCATGTTTTGATTTGACCGCCCTTAACTTTCTTCCAGCCTACATCAAAAAATATCGAACGGCGGGATAGTCGGTGGTTGGGCCTACATGAAACATGTCCCAATGTAGGGTTCGTCACTAAGTATGCTTGAGGCAATTACGAGCGTTACCTTAGTCGATAAACGCGAACGAGACAATTACCAGCGTCCAGGTAGGCTACCTTGAATCCCAAGCTGAAGGCAGAAAGCTTTGTAAACGTAGGAAGTATATTCTACAAACACCCAGCAATCACAGTACAATCAAGTATACAACTCTCGTTTATTTACACATCATAGAAACGTCCTTGAGACAGTTACGAAGAAAGGCACACCTAAAATACACAGCAGCCAATCACAGCCATGGATTTTCCTGGTGGGAATTGAAATCTCAAGGTCAACTGATCAGCCCATGTTGGCAAACGCGAAAACCAAAATAAGGCATCTATCAAGCGAATTTTGGGGATCTAACATCCCCAACACCCAACCACCTCAACTGATCAAGATGCACTACTTCATCAATTGATCTGCTATCCTTATCTAGTACCCGTTTCCTAAGAACGGTAGCGCTTACTCAGTTGTCCCGGGATGTACAAGCAATGCTTCAAAGATAGCTATGGTTAGTTACAACGTAGAACTTCATACGCACGTACATCAGTTCAAGTTGCCATACCACATTAGCATAGAGACACAATTGTTAATTTAAATCCCATAATGGTAGAGAGAGTAAACGTTTCAGCGGTAATGAAGAAGATTAGGGTTCGACAATATTATACAAGAAGTATAATTCAATGAGATAACTTCATCATTTATAATTAAAAATAACGTTAACTAAACTAGACTTTTTTTGATTGAATAGTATAGATTATTCATCATTTCATAATTGTTTATATACTCATCACTTCAACATGTACGTCATTATTGAATCACAGCTCTCTCCTCCCACTCTCTATATGATCTATCAATCTATTCAAATGGAGAATTGAATCCAACTGTAGGGAGAGAGAGAGACTAACATTTTTGTTCATAATGAAATCACCAATCAATCAATCATTGTTATACCACCACCATTACACAAATCTGGAAACACTGAAAGTGTGGTCGTTTCGTCCCGATATGGGTCTCATCAGTGTGCAGTATGCATTCACAACTCCTGCTACTTACTACTCTCATGATTCGAATCCAGGGTTTTCGATTTATGCACGTAAATGCCTAACCTCTGCGTCACTGAGCTAGCTGACATCCAACAATGTTAATGTCTAACTCGGATCAATCTAATGCTATTTGATTTTGACCAATTTGATCTCGTGTGCTGTGCCGACTGCTGCGACGAGCTATGTTTTGTGGTGTAGGAGTAGATTGGAAGAAAGCTAGGGGCGGCAAAACCAAAACATGGCACAAATGCATGAAGTCACTGGCTAATGGACTGAGTCATGTTGGTAAGTGTAGACTACTTGGTTGGGATCCGCGAGACAATAGTAACCGACGATTAAAAATTTTGAATGACGTGTCTCAAAATCGTTTACAATGGCGCAGGTGCATCCACTCTTTGTGTTATATCAAATTCTAACCTGAATTTCTCATCCTTTCTATCTTTCTAAATTTGTCTAACTGAATTATACTTCTCGAATCATGTCTTCGCTCCCTAATCTTCTCCATTACTGCTAATACTTCAACTATCGCTACTATTATTGGATATGAACTGACAGTTGCGTCTATGTGCTAATACGGTATGGGGCAATCTGAACTGATGTACTTACGTACGAAATTCTGTGTTGTATCTGTCTGTCAATCCAATGCTTACAGATTTTTGTAATAGTGCTTTAACAATGATTGATTGGTGATTTCGTATCAAAAACTTTAGCTGAAATATCAAACAAGACAAAATTATACTTACATTGATATCATTGTTATGTTTAAGAGTATTCTTATCAATAGGAATTTTTGATGTAATCCAATTATGTAATGTAGGATCACGTAAACACCAAATAATTTGATCTGTGATTAATATCACTATACCATTTAATTGTATTGGTAAAATATGTAAAATTGTTTCAGGTGAATTCAGTAAATAACGTAGATGTTGAGGTAATATTGTTAAAGATTCAGAAGAATGATTATGATTGTGATTATCACTACTACTAATACTACTATTAATATTATTAGTAGTATTGTTATTACTACATGGTAATAAGGTGTAAATGCATAACATTCTACTGAATGAAGATGTGAAACTGATATCAGTTAACTGATAATTCTCCATTGGAATTTCTTCACCAATTTCAAAATATGCTGGTGTTGATGATAACGATGATGAAGATGCGGATGCAGATGTAGAATAATAATTTTTCAATGTAGCACGACGTGTTCCAGTGAATAAAGTCAATTGATAAATTTGTAATTGTGCTATAGATTCATCTAAATTATATACAATTAATGGTCGAAGAAAATATTTCGATAAACCAGCACGACGTGGTCTACAACGTTTTGGACGAGATAAATTTGATGGACGCGCAACTTCACTAATGGAACTCATCATACCTGAGACAAAATCAAATACACCACCGACTGGTTTAGTCACAGTGCCTAGTAGACCACGACCAACACCATAAACAAAACCCTAAAAGAAATAACGCAAAACAGAGAGGGAAAGAGAGATTAACCTTTTTTCACGATGAATTTCGATGTGGGCACATTAATGGATCACGCTAAAATTAAATATTCTGATGTAATCCTTAGTACGATTGATCGGATCGTATCGATCAAGTTCAGTCAGTCAGCAACAACGTAGAACTTCGTACGTATGTACGAAGATCAGTTCAAGTTGCCATAGTACATTAGCCGACAGAGATCAAATTTTCGATTCAAATCGCATAGTGGTAAGGGTAGTAGAAGTATGAGCAGTAATCGGAAAGATTAGGGTTTGAAGAAATTATTCAAGAAGTATAATTTAGTGAAATAAATTTAAAAAGGAAAAGATAGAGGGTGATGAGGCATTCAGAGGATTAGAATTTGAAGGAACACAAAGAATGGATGAATCAGCGTCATTGAAAACGATTTTCAGACATGTGATTCAAAGTCTCTAAAGATCCGTTACTATTGTCTCGCGGACCTCAACCAGGTAGTCTACACTTACCAACATGACTCAGTCCACTTGTCAGTGACTTCATCGTTCTGCAGTCGACCTGCCTGGCATGGTAGGACCTGCAGGAACATAAATTGAAGCCAATATAGCTCGGTTGGATCATCACGATAGTCAAACCCGACCACTACGTCAAGGTAGCAGCTACGGTCGGGAGTGACTTCATGGATTTCTGCTATGTTCTGGTTTGGCCGCCCCTAGCTTTCTTCCAACCTATTCCCACACTGCAAAGCATAGCATGATGGGGTCGGTGGTTAGGCATACGTAACACATGTCCAATCCACCTCAACTGATCAAGATTCACTACTTACTCAATTGATTTGCCATCCTTACTTAGTAACATTTTCCTAACAACAGGACTGCTTACTCGAATGTCCCAAGATATACGAGCAATGCTTCGAAGACACATATGATCGAAAACCAATAACCGACGAATATCTTCTACCTCTACAGTGACCAACATTAGTCACATGAACTTCACAAACAATCGAACTTATTAATAATTTCGAATGTTGTGGCTCCTCAACTATGATATTCACTTTTCAAATATGTGGTGAACTGATCGTACATGTGTGAATTAGGTCCTGAACTAAACACCGTGACACTTTGAATAGCTTACTCAACTATGATCGGCTCATCCATAAATTAAAGTTTCATCTCTATTTTAGATCATTTTAGATCATTCTGTTATGCTCATCAATTGATATGCTTGAATGTCATTACGAGTTCACCTTACTCGATAAACAAGAGTGAAGACAAATGATCCAGTGACATGATAGGTTACTCTAATCTGTTGCCTCATCTTACTGAAGAAAGAAGTCTTGATATGGAGTAGAAAGTGTAGTATTCTACAAGCACCCAGAAAATTCGAGGTCGACAAGTACACAAATCGAGTTTACTGATACATGATAGAAATGTCCTTAGGAGAGCCACAAAAATAGCGTACTAAAATAATACATCAACCAATAACTGTCAAGGATTTTCCTGGTGGGAAATGTAATCTCAAGGCCAACTGATCAGCCTATGCGCGAAAGCATAACATCCAAAAGTAGGATAGTTATCAAGTGTGAGTTTTGGGGATTTAACGTCCCCAACATTATTCATCTAAAACAATATCTCCATTAGCTTGTTCTTGTTAAACACTTGACTTACTTACTTACTTACTTACGCCTGTCACCCCTAATGGAGCATAGGCCGCCCACCAGTTTTCTCCAACCAACTATGTCCTGGGCTTCCCTTTCCAGTTCTGTCCAATATTTGTTCAATCTTCTCATATCTTTCTCTATTTCTCGGTGTAATGTGTTCCTTGGCAATCCTCTTTTCCTTTTGCCTTGAGGGTTCCAAGGTAGGGCTGGTCTCATGATGCAGTTAGGGTTCTTTCCTTAGTGTGTGACATCTTCAAGGTCTACCTTTTCTAACCCTTCCTTTCTTGTGAGAAGGCAGCATCTCTGCAGATGCTGGTTGTCCGAGGGAAACACCTTATTGCTGTCACACCCCTCCACAGTTAGTCAACAGTACGACTTCGCCCTCAGACCTTGACTAGCTGCTTTTAGTCTCGTCGTTCTCCAATCGATCTGCCTGGCGTGGTAGAACCTTCAGGAACATATGTTCCAGCAAATATAGCTAGTTTGGATCATCACGATAGGCAAGCCCGACCACCACGTCAAGGTAGCAGCTAAGTGTGTACACTTGACTTACTCAAATAGACTATTCATTCATTAGAATTTATAATAAACACACACACAAAAAACTTACTCTAAATTGATCTTCTTTTGCACCACGATAAGGTTGTGTCACAATCGATGTCATTCCACCGACAATACCATGCATAAGACCACGTACACCAGCACTCAATGGTGCTGTAATCGATCGATTCGTGTCGAATGAATGATGAATTGATGGCGGTGGCGGCGGCTGTGGAGGCGGCAATAATGATGTTGTAGTTGATGTGGAGGATGTTGTGGCCGCTGATGCTGCTGATGAAGCAGGTGTTTTAACATGATGAATATATTTATTATGACATGTTAATTCAAAATCATTTAATGATTCATTCAACTCGTTGGAATTTAAATCATTTTCATTGTAATAAGTTGGCTGTGTTGTTTGTAATAAGGATGATGATGATGAAGATGGCAATGTCGGTGACGCTGATGACGGTGAGGATGGCGAAGTGTCAATATGACTGCCTAAGATAACAGCACGTTCTTGTTGATGTTTATCATCTAATGACATAACATTTAATAATTGGGAAACACTTCCAGCAACCTTGATGGAAAAAGACAGTTTAATTAAAGATGATTTTTGACAATAATCTAAGAGTAATAAAATAAAAGTACTCACTATGAATAACTGCTTGAGACAAGTTGGATATACAACTTTGTGTAAGTCAGTCAATCAGTTGCAACGAAGAACCTATGTGATTACATACATTTCTTCAAGTTGTGATTAACAGACAGAGATGCCATTGTTAAAATTCAAATCCCATAATAATATAGTTAGCAGATGTATGACCGGTAATCGGAAAGATTAAGGATTGAAGATATGATACTGTAGGGTTCGTCACTAGGTACACTTGAAGCTATTACGAGTTCATCTTAGTCTATAAACGCGAACGAGACAATGACCCAGCTTCCAGTTAGGCTACCTTGAATCCCAAGCTGAAGATAGAAAGCTCTTAACAGAAAAAAAGTCATTCAGTCAATCAACAACAACATAGAACTTCGTACGTTTGTACATCAGTTCATGTTGCCATACCTAATCAGCACAGAGATATAATTGTCAATTCAAATCCAATAGTAGAAGAGGTAGTAAAGGTATTAGAAGTAATCGGAGAGGCTAAGGATTAGAAGATATTATTCAAGAAGTATGATTCAATGAGAAGAGTTTAGAAAGTCAAAACTAGAAGTGTTGAAGAATCCAGAAGATTAGGATTTCAGAGAACACAAAGAATAAATGCACCGGCGCCATTGCAAACGATTTTGAGACATGTCATTCAGAGTATCTAACCATCGATTATTATCATCTCGCGGACCACAACCAGGTAGTCGACAACTACCGACATGACTCAGTCCACTTGTCAGTGACTATATGTATTTGTGCCATGTTTTGGTCTGGCCGCCCCTAGCTTTCTTCCAAACTATTCCTACACTACAAAATAAAGCTCGACGAGGCATCGGTGGTTAGGCATACACAACACATGTCCCAACCACCTCAACTGATGAAGTTTCATTACTTCATCTATTGATCTGCCATTCTTACCTAGCACCCGTTTCCTAATAACAGCGTTGCTCACTCGGGTGTCCCAGGATATACGAGCAATGCTTCGAAGACACCTATGATCGAAAACCAGTAACCTACGAATATCTACTCTCACTGGCCATGTTTCACAGCCATAAAGTAAGACGGAGCGAACTACTGCGCAGTACACTCGTCCTTTAGTCAGCAAACGGATATCTCGCCTACGCCATAGGTGACGCAGGTTGACAAAAGCCAATCGAGCTTTCTGTATCCGAGCTGAGATTTCGTCAGTCACCAGGCTATCAGCGCTGATGAGACTCCCCAGATAAGTGAAGCGATCAAGATGCTTAAAGTACTTGGTGTTTGGGCTACATAACACAGGTTTCAACCACTTCAGCCGATAAAGACTCACTATATTTTCATCGATTTGTTCGCCATCCCTACCTAGTTAGTACCTGACTCCTAACACCGACGGTGCTTACTCGATGGTTCTTAAATATACAAATATGTCTTCATAATTTTAAGTCTCCAAGTTAAAAAAATACGGGTGTAAAACATTGCCATCAGGAATAGAG